GGGCGAAGGTCGCAAGGCGAAGAGCATATGCCCAAGGGGGACGACTTTGCCGTAGCAAGTTGAGCCCCGGAAAGACCGAAGAAGCTTACCGAAGAAGCTATCCTGGCCCATCAAGCCTAATGGCTAATTGGGCTGACAATCGCCTAACGGCCCGTTAGGGGCCCACGAACCTCAATTACACTATATACCCATGTAAATGTCCCTTTCATAAGGGCAACCATGTAAATTCCCCTGTATAACCAAAACCCTAACCTGTAATAGGGCTATGAATAGCCCCATAGGGCCATATAATAGGGGGATCTGAAGAAAAATTCTCAATTTAATACACTTTACTTCTTTTCCAACTACTGTTGAGTGACCACGTCTTTCGATGTATGCCGTTGTCGTTTCGACAACAGCTTCAAATTTTTTCTTCGAACTTCCAACTTTTCTATCACATCAAAACTTTCCTACACACATAAACTTTCAACTTTTCCATCACATCGATCCAATTTTAACCAAACTTCTAATTTTGACCTGAACTAAACACACACTTCGTAGACAAGCTGTAGTTACTTTGTATAGCAGTATCATGTAAAAGCAGAGTCATCCTTCTCTTTCTCTCCTTCTCCATACGTGTTTGGATGAAAAGCAAAATAAAATTTTAAGAGTATGTTTTTTTAAAAAAAAATTACACAGTACAACGTAGACACTTACAACGCATGCACACTCACCCCTATGAACCCGCGCACGCAAACCCTACCCTTATGAGCATCTTCGAAGACTGGACCGGCAAATCCATCCTGGAGATTGATGAAGTCACCACAGGCGCCTCGCTGTCGACGGGTATATCGCCTACCACTGAAAGCACGGAGCCGTTAAATTCTGAAAAATTCGCTCCTATGGACAAATTTTGAATCCGATCCATGGCTATGATGATAGTTCTAGGATTAAAAAAAAATTACACTTTCACTCGTAGCGTTCCAAAAGTCAATTCGAGTGACCAGAATTTTTAAACCTCTAAATTAATTTTTAAATTAATATTTAAAATTCGAAACTGGCTGTGTCTTATAAGCCGCGCAGCTGTTTCAAGCAGTGGGCTCTAAAGTTAGTTTCTTCTATAGAATGTACGCATAGTACGGAAAAAGTGGGTTAATTAATTTGGAGGTTTGATATTAGCTAGAGTTAGGGAAAAGTCCATTTAATGTCCCTCAACTATAGCTGCAGTTTGATTTCACATCCATCAATTGTAAAACTGGTTCGTTTTACCCCCTTGAATGGTTTAGCAACGATTTTATCCTGCGTAACGCCAACATGATATGTTGACCTAAACCAATCATACTTAAGATTTCAAACTGTTAAACGTTAAGATTTCAAACTACGTTTTACCTAATCTTCATCCTACGTGACACTTATGTAGCATTACAGTTAGTATCAATAAATAAATATAAAACCCTTGCTATCTTCCTAAATAGGCTGCTAGGGTGGACGTCGTAGCCAGGATGGAGTGTGTGCCATTCCTTGGGTCAGTCACCGCCGCCATGTTCGACTAATGATCTATAGGTGTCCAGTGACGGCATGATTGCCGCTGTTCACCATTGGCCTCCTCCCTGATGACATCTGCGTCAAGTGGAACGATGTCGGTACGTACAATGTCGATCGAGACATCATGCTATTCCCTTAGCTTGACTCCCAACTCTGATCATGCTTCGCTCAATGCCACGTACCGGTACCATGGCTCATCGTCGAGGTCCTTGTATCCTCGATGGGCCACTCAACGCATGGACGGGGGAGCTCAACCTCTTCATTATTGCTGGCAGCAAGACGACGCGACTGCTGATTCCACTCAACGATACAAAGGATGGACGTGGCGTGCCATCTCCCCCCCCCCCCCCCTCTCTTCACTGGTAAGAGAGACGAATAGAAAAAGAGGAGATAGATGATGGATGGGAAGAGAGAGAGTATGGCATGTGGGTCCTACTATTTTTTAAGATTTTTGTTGAGAGACTATATGTGGGTCATGTTTTTCTCTTTTTTTTAAAAAAAATAAAGACAGAATACCACGTGTGCGTCACATAGGCTCATGCTGAATAAAACCACTATCAAAATCGCAAATCGCACAGAGAGGTAAATTGATTTGGTTTTAACTGTCGAGGAGTCTCAATTTTGTCGTTCAAGAACACGAATCATAGAGTTGAGGGAGGCACAGTGGACTTCCCCATGGAGTTATGGGATGATTTATTTATACTTGTGCATGGTTGTTGAGATTAGCAGGCCCATTTGTGCGTTGGCATACGGTACACCGTACACCGAGCCGGCGCTGATTGGGGAGATCTCTAGCGAACGTCAGAGAGGTAGGAGGAAATGGTACTGGATAGTGGAGTACAAAGCAGAGAGGGTGAAAGAAAAGTAGTAGTACTCGTACAGTAATAAAAATGGTTGTCGTCGTATACATACTGTACACGCACTCGTATATATAGGCCGAAAGGAAATTTAACGACAGGAGGACATTTCGCTTTGCCTGACAAAACGCATTTCGCTGTGCTTTGTGTGCATATGAAGCGGTAGGTTAATTTCCGTGTACTGTCACGTACCAATATGCGTCGTACGCGTACCAAGCATAAGCATGCGAGATGCTCTGCTCTCGCGTCGTCGACTCGTGATTCCGAACGAACGAATTCTCGTTGGTGTCCGGTAATGGGATTAAATCCGCTGAGCAGTCAAGCAAAGATCCAAATGGCAACACGCCAACTAATTTGGAGTAACTAACTAAGCATGGAGTAGCAGTGTACCTGGTCCGGCTCGCCGGCCGGCCGGACGGCCAAATTTTTGTCTCCATGGGGGAACGTATGTACGAGATGCCTATCGGGACACGTCATGATGTACGGTATACTGGGCTGGAGTGGCGTACAGGGCTAGTAGGTGGACCGTGGCCTTCTCCGTTGCCTCTTACCTTCTTCCTAACGTACGTACATAAGGTTGGTGATAAACTGGCAGTGGGTGAATTCGAAGGTCGTCCTTTCACAACTCTACCTACTACTCCCTCCGTCCTATAATATAACGGATTTTAAGTTTTTACTTGCAATATTTGACCACTTGTCTTATTCAAAAAATTTTGAAATTATTATTTATTTTATTTGTAACTTACTTTATTATCTACAGTACTTTGAGCATAATTTTTCGTTTTTTATATTTACAAAAAAAATTAAATAAGACGAGTGGTCAAACGTTGCAAGCAAAAACTGAAAATCCCTTATATTATGAGACGGAGGGAGTAGTACTTAAATATTTTTGAAATAAAAAATGTAATAAAATTTAACGCATCTTGTTTTAGACCCGACTTTTAAATTTTGTTGTATAAAAAGTTGATACGATTACCATTACGTATGCTATGATTTCCCGACTATAAAAGTCCGCTAATTTTAATTCAGAGTGCATTACAAATTGGACTAGATTATCTAACTGAAGTAAACGGCCATAGATATTTTCACGTATGATCCGGTTGTATTACTTAAAGTTGTGCTGGATTAATGGTCCGCGTGTCAACCACCCTAAGCAAACGAAAAGGTGATACTAGCGAGTGGCGTACCTCTCCTTCAACATTGACACCAATGAGTTACTCAAAGAGGTCCATGAGATTTGATGATGCAAGAGATTGATGGCTCTAGTCAAGATTAACTCAAGAGGTCCTTTAGATATGAGGAGTAAGAGATTAAGGCTGTGTTTGCAAGAGCAAGTTCCCAACACTCATCTCTCGTTTTCCGCGCACACGCTTTTCAAACTGCCAAACGGTGTATTTTTTGTAAAAAGTTTCTATACGAAAGTTGTTTAAAAAAATCAAATTGATCCCTTTTTGAAAAAAATAGCTAATACTTAATTAATCACGCGCTAATGAACTACTCCGTTTTCCGTGTGCACCGTGTAGGTTCCCATCCTCCCCTAGCGAACACAGCCTAGTTAGGGATAGTAAAGTTACAAGTGAATTGATATTGGAGTAACTATAAAGAGATTGAGGAATTTATAGAGATGGTACATAGAGGTCACATCGATGATCAAGCTTAGATAGTCGACAAGCCCACGTTGCTCCTCATCGGTATGTCGACGCCCTTGATTAGTCCTCCCAAACAAACTACACTCCGATGATCTTATTATCGTGCCATCATTTCTTGCTTATGCCATATGCTCGGAGACATGTTTCATCGCCCATCATGTAGGCTACATTTGCGCCTTCATTGTTAAGCTCGAGGCTCGCCTTCTGATATTTGTAGCATCTAGTTTTGCCCTACTCTCAAGGTTTGGCATCTCGAGCACGTGCTTATTGGTTTCATCAACTTGGCCCTATATGAGGTTGCCGTTGATAGCACGAATAGTGGCTAGGAGCGATGGAAATACAAGGAACTTCAATGTTGTGGAGTTGAAGGACAAACCCCATTCCAAAGTGTAACCAATCGTAGATTATCCAGGGCTACAATATGAAGATAATGTTTGTCTAGGCCTACTTCCTTTTATAATCTTTTATTTACGGTAATAAAACTTGGTCCAGTATGCAATTTACTCTTTTATTTGCTCTTAAGATGTATCTTTGGCTTACAAATACAACTTAAAATTGTAAGCGTTTTGTTATCCTCGTATCCAATGAATGGTATTAAATATATTAGAATGGGATTTCCCCACCAAAATCTCAATCACCAATTCTCTTGAGGGGCAAATAATTAACTCTTCCACTAACTCAAGTTTGATAGGTGTCAAAATCATCACTCCAGAGAATAAGTACGGTACCATCCATTCCTTCCATCCTTCCACCCACCACTTAACCCATGCTCTAAAAAGCATTGCAAATCCATCATGATTGGATCAGCATAGAAGCACCTGTGTCACTAATCACCAGTGTCCCCACAAGCCAGAGTGAGTGCCTCCTTTCCCTTTGCCAAAGGCAGCAGCATCATTCCACAGTTAAAGCATTCTTCTCTTCTTCACCTACAAGCCCTCATAAAAGCGGCCCGGGTCGGAATCCAACGGCTCGTGGCGTTAAACCCCCCCGACCCCAACCGGGCAACCACCCCCATCCATCCGTCCCATTCCCACCCGAACCCCAAACGAATTTCCCAAACCAAATCCCATTCCATTCCCCGTCCGTTTCGGTTTCGGTCTGGGATTTTGAAACGGGGAGGCGGAATGCTCGACCGATCCCTCAGGCCGCCGCAGCCGCAGCAGGCGGCGGCGGAGGCGGAGGCGGGCCCCGGCGGTGGCGAGGGAGGGGGGAACGTGGATCGGGTGCTGTTCAAGAACCTCGTCGAGATGGTGCCGCTCGTGGAGTCGCTCATGGTGAGTCGCGCTTCGGCGGGTTTCGGAGGGGGGGCGCAGATCTCGTCTCGCGTGATGTCTGATGCGTGTTGTTTTTTTTTTTTTGGTTTGGTTTGTGGGATGGATGCAGGACCGGAGGTCGAACCCGTCCTACTCGAGGCGCGCGTCGATGGTGTACACGCCGGCGCCGGCGAAGAAGGTGGCTCGCCGCGCGCGCTCTCTCTCTCTCTCTATTTTATTTTGTTTTTTTTATTTTATTTTAGCCATTTGCTGTTTTGGATGGCGGGGATAGGGTAGTTTCGTTCTGGTGCCAGTTTGCCCGTGTTGGAGTTTTTATATGGTTTTTGTGAATGTTAGTGGTTCAGGTGTCAGGGTTTAGTGGTCAGGATTTGCAATGGGGAATGGGGCCAGATATGTGTTTTTGACCCTGTTCCGACTAATAATGTTTGTATTTGTGCTGCTATGATTTGTAGATAGAGGTAGATCTTGAAATTTGGTGGCATTGTTGACAAAAGTATGACATAGATCGAATCTTCTCCAAGTGTTTGTCTCTGGTTTTTCATAGTGATCATCTATGATGGATGGGTTGTTCTTGTAGGGTTCTGATTTGAAGAGTGTGAAGTCGCCGCAAAGTGTGTCGGTGAAAAAACGGAGGGATCCTGGAGAGACGGGCAAGAAGAGCACCGCCGACTCCAATGGTGAGAATGGCGCGGTTGCGCCAGTCGGTCTGTTGGGGGGAGAAAATAAACCCAAGGATAAGGATGAGATCGTTTTGCTGCGTGAGCAGATCGAAGAGTTGCAAAAGACGCTGCTTGAGAAAGAGGAAGCACTGAAATCCGCGGAGAGTTTGGTGGGTGAGATGAATACATTATATTCGACAGTAGATGAGCTGAGACGCCAGGTTGCTGACAAGGAAGGTTTGATCAAATCTATCAATTCTCAGCTGCACAATGCGAAGGTGAGTCAGCAGCCCACCTGCCACTACATTGTCATATTTTCCATCTGTGAACTAGTACCCTCCTTTTCCAGATGCTTATCTACTAATTCTTCCAATTTATTGTTATGTGTAGAGCATTACTTAGTATGTTTGTACTATCACATTGCTGCAGCGCATCATGCTTAATGTGCTCATTCTGATCTCTACAGAATGTTTGCTTTGTCATTGTACTCACAAAATAAAGAAAGGAATGGGATGATTACACCAGCATTAAATTGTCATGTTGATTTCAATTCAAGAAATCAGAGACAAATAAGAGACTATAGGGCAGCTGCCTGGACCAGTACTGCTTTGTATTGTTTCTTGAATTTACCAATAGCGGTTCTTTGCTTTGTTCTTCCATTACTACCCTAGTTCTTTTCATATGTTGTCCTATAATTTACACAATGCCACAATCATTATTTAGAATTTTGACCAGTCATATTCATGAAAGTATTTAGATTTATTACCCTTACATTTTTATATGATTTGTTGATATATAATAACAAGCAGCACTAAAAACGTGCCTATTCAAGCTATCCATTCCCAGAGCGACATTACTTTCAGGAAAAAGAACAGAGTGAGTGTTACTTTCGATGATCGCTAACTAATAATATAGTCCCCAAGGGGGATTAGAGAGTAATATGCTCTGAAATTGTCTACTGTGGCTTGTTATCGTGTCCATGAGGATTATACGGCCTTTAGGACTGTCCAAACCAGGTTTACACAGGCATGGGGAATGAGAACATGCTTTCAACCTTCTGAGCCTCAACACTCTTAAATGAGTTGAGGGAACCATCTTGTGCGACCCTACCATCCTTTGGACGATTCAAGATTTTGTCATTGAGTTGAATAAAATATGTATACTTCATACGAAGTTCTTTTTAATCAACTTGTTAATTTACTGACTCACTGATCTCTTGATAATGATATGCTCAACATTGGTAAACTCTTGTGTGCTGAGAGTTCTTTTCTTGTGTTAGGTACCTGTACATTTTTCATCTGACATGTTTGTTCTCTACTTTATTCTGTAGATTATGCTTGCAGACAAGCAAGCATCATTAGAGAAATTAGAATGGGAGGTGAAGACGTCAAATAAGAAAGTAGAAGATCTTCAAGGGGATGTCTCCAATATGGAGTTTGAGATAGGTTCGTTGATGGCATTATTCGAAAAAATTTCGGAGAATGTTTCAGGTGAACTCCAAGATGGTAGCTTGCCATCATCTTTTGAATTGGAAGCACTTCAATCAACTGTAAGTACACATTCTTGGCTGTACTTCTTGACTGATTCAAGTGTAACCAGAGTTCAGATATTGTCATTGTTGTATGCCATCCTATGTTTTTTTTTACTAAGGAGTAAGGATACAGTTGCAACATAGCATTCTCTGTATAAAAACTTTTTTAAAAAAATTATGGATATAATACTCTATCATGTATAAATTTAAGCCAGTAATTGAGTCAGTAGTATATAAATGTAATGGTGCTTGAAAACCATGATACACTAGCTAAATGTCCGTGCTTTGCTATGGCTAAAAGAAAAAAAATATGATAATATTTCCAAAATAAATAAAGCATATCTTTCCTGAAATATGTTGGCCACCTTTATTTATAGAGAATACTCACTTTAGTTTAATTTTATATGTAGCTAACCATTTAGATTTAGCTGTTATGTATACTTACGTGATATTATGAAGCTCAAGGGCTAATATGTACAAACTACTTAGATGGGATGGCAGATTGACCGCCACTACTTATATACTCTTTTAAAGGAGTATAGATATTGAAAATCAGCAACAACTTTTACTATAGTATAATGGGATTAACTTTCTGGAGATCTGTAAATCATTTGGTCTTACAACGTTACTATGAAGGATATTCACTCAATGAATATTGATGACATTCTGCATTGAATTTTGATCAGTCACTTGAACTAAGCATTACACATTTTTATGTCAGAGCGAAATCGACAAGATTGAGGTTGAGAAGATAGAGCAAGAAGCGGTTACATATGCCGAAGCTCTTGCTGCAGCAAGAGAGAACCCAAACGAGGAGCAGCTGAATATAGCTGCGGAAGCACGGTTAAGGCTGCAGGTCCTTGTGCTATGATGCGCCAAGTGCATATTGTAGTGTATGTGTATGATAATGTCGAATCGCTGATGTAATTATGTGTGCGTGCTTGATCGAGTTTATTTCATGTGAGACCGTACTGACGGTAATCGATCAAGCACCAGATACTGGACACTTATTTAATTGGAGATGATGTTTATTCAGTTCTGAGCTCTCCGTTGTCAATCAGTAATATACTTCAGGCGTCCCTTTTCTCATGACAACATGAAGTAGCACTTACTATCTTTTTCCCAGAATAATTACGCATTTTTATAGATTAGAAACATATTAGCAGCACATACAAATGATCATGATAACCCTATTTAATAACCATATTGCATGTACATATTCCTCCGTTTCAGGCTATAAGATGTTTTGACTTTGGTCAAATTCAAACTGCTTTAAATTTGTAAGTTTGTAGAAAAAAGTAGTAATATTTTTAACCCAAGATAAATTTATTATGAAAATATATATTCAATTATTGATTTGATGAAACTAATTTAGTATTATAAATATTACTATATTTATCTATAAACTTAGTTAAACTTAAAATAGTTTGATTTTAACCAAAGTTAAAACGTCTTATAACCTAAAACAGATAGAGTATTTAAACTAAAGGAAGATTAGGAGATGGAAATGGAAAGATGGGAGGTTAGGAGGCAGTATATCTTTATCTACAAATTTGTTGGGTGACTTGGGTCCCACACATAATTAGAAATTCAACCTTTTTTGGATAAAATTTAGTAGTAATACAATTATTCATGCTTTCATGGCCATGGTTTAGTGTACTCTGAATCTCTTATACAAACAGGAATTAAATTTGAAAATATACTATTGATTCGTTTGTTTCTTAGAAATATTCGTGATACAAACTTTTTAGCAGAAATATACCGTCGATCTCGCACAATCGTTATGCGAAAGTGACGAGAGCGTGACGACGCACGCAGTGTCGCGCGGTGGGAGCGCGAGACCGCGCTGAATCGCAATATGAAATAGCGAGAGTGAACGGTCTCGCGTAAGGAATCAGCGAGACCGAATGTCTCGTCCATCAGTGCTGCTTAATTAGTGATTAATTACTCTAATTAATGATTAAATAATAATAATTAATCACTAATGAACCATTTTCAACAGTCGCTTTCGCCCGGTGAGCGAGCGAGACTGCTCGGTCTCGCAGTTTGGCCGCGCGAGACCGCGTGGTCTGACGCCGCCACCACGTACGTCCTCGATTTTGCCATTCAGAGTGTCGCAGTTTCATCGTGCGAGACCGTTTGCGTCGTCACGTCCACGTCACTTTCACGAAACAGTTGTGCGAGATCGAGGGTATATTTCTGCTAATAAATTTACATCCCGAATATTTGTGAGAAAAAAACGAATCAACATTATATTTTCAAATTTAATTCATACAAACAGCTCCTTTGGACTTATGAGTGATGCAAATGTTTAGGCCTAAATGGAATTTCCCTATCCTAATAAAAAGGAATAAGTCCACTTTGACTAATAAAAATACATAGAGGCCCAATAGGTCCATTTGCTCGGTAGGTGTACAAATGGGGGGCTGCTAGCGCGCGCGTTAGCGCCAGGAGAGGAGCTGGCGCGCGCGCCAGCCGGCGTCTCTACGCGTTCTTTTTTTTTTTTGATTCTCCTATTTTGACGTCACCTTTTCATTTTCTTTTTTAGATCACTTTTTTTTTCGGATTTTTTGGAATCGCTTCTTTTTTTCCACACACGCGCATGCTTTTTTTTTTGCGATATTTTATAAATTCAATCTTTCATCTTCAATATCAGTTGAGAGTTTTGAATTTGAGTTGAAAGTTTCTTAAATTTAAGTTGAATGTTTTGAATTTTGAGATGGAAGTTTTCAAATTTAAGTCAAATATTTTGAATTTTGAGGTGAAAGCTTCTAAATTTGAGTTAAAAGTTTTCAAACCTGAGTTAAGTTTTTAAATCCTGACTTGATTTTTTTAAACTTGAATTGAAGGTTTGAAATCTCCAGTTGAAAGTTTTCATGTCCGAGTTGAAAGTTTTCAACTCCGAGTTGAACGTTTTCAAATCTGAGTTAAAAAATTTTAAATCTTGACTTAAAAGTTTTCAATATTGACTTCTACTCCTACACGCGTGCAGTAGTGTAACGGCGAAAAGAAAAAAAAAGAAACACGACAGCTGTGAAAAAAGAAGAAAAAAGAAACGGGCGCGCTTGGACGTACGAGGGCCCGCCACGTGGCACGCGCCTGAGACTTGGAAAAGTCGCACTTACGTGCTAATTAGCAAAACCGGTACAAATGGGCCATTGCATTGCGTACACCATCTACTGTTGAATAGCTGAAGCCGTTGGTTCGTTCGTCGTTTCAAAAATTTGGCACGCAACAGCCGGGCAGCCACCAATCCCGGGACACGCATCTCCTCCAGAAATTCTCCCACGATTTCCTCTCATCCTCTCAGCCCTCCCAGCTGCCACCACCAGCAAGCCACTCCACCCCTATAAGTTCCTCAACTTGTCTCCTTTCCAACCCACCCCACAAAGCCAGGAAAAAACCCCTACATTCCTCCCTCTTCTTTGCCGCGGCGCCGACATCGATCCATCCCTAACAAATAACACGATGTCGCGCGCCACGGTCGCCATCCTCTTCTACATCCTCACAGCCGCCGCCGCCATCAGCGCGGCGGCGCAGGCCCCAGCGGAGTCGCCATCGCCAAAGCCATCGAAGAGCACGGCAGCTGCCACCCCTGCAAAGGCACCCACCGTCGCATCGGCACCGAGGAAGGCCGGACCAGCTGCCGCGCCGACGACCACCGTGGCTACCTCCGCGCCTGCTGGTGGCGACGAGGTGTCCATCCCCCCTACGCCGTTCGCCACCGTGGTGTCTCCCGTCGCCGATGGACCTGCCGATGCGGCTGACGCCGATTTCTCCGGTGCCGGTGCTCTCAAGAGGTGCGCTGCCGTTGCCGGTGTCGCGGCTGCCATTGCCACCGTCACCTTCTACTAAGATGCCGGATGCAGAGATGTGGAGTGTCATGGTGAGCTGTTAGGGTGGACAGCAGGAGGAAGGCGTTACTGTCGTTGGGAGGGGCCACATATTTCCTGGTTTTGCTCATCTCACTTGCTTGTGCAACATTATGGGGTCGACACTATATCAATTGAATGCATTTGAACGACTGATAAAACTTTTCTGACGACGTGGCTAAGCTTATGGATTTTCACATTATTATTACTTCTCACTAGTTTTAATTATCGACCTAATTAAACAAGCTAGAACACTGAACAGGAATTTACAAAAAGCATAACCAAGTAACTTTCATTTGGCCCACACAATACTTTGAGATTGAACGTTCAAGTAACACATAGAAATTTCGAAATGATAAACTTGTACGAATAAAAAAACCTTTTAATTGACACACGGTGTATTGACCGTTAGCTTTCGACTTTCCAAAACTTTTAAGTCAGAAACATAATTAACCTTCAAATCTGTAATTTTTTTAGAGAGTTCATATCTCCCCATATAGATCAAAAGTTTAACGGAATCGATGCGTCAACAACCCATGCATTAAGACTATGTTTGGAGAGCTTAAGATTCTAAGAATCTAAGAAACTCGGTTTTTTAGCTTCTGGCTTCTAGTTTAATTTTTGAATTCTATAACTATATATTATTAGAATCTACTCCCTCCGTTTCAGGTTATAAGACGTTTTGACTTTGGTCAAAGTCAAACTGCTTTAAATTTGATCATGTTTATTAAAAAAGTAGTAATATATTCAATTATTAATTTGATAAAACTAATTTAGTATTACTATATTTGTCTATACAATTTGTCAAACTTAAAACAATTTGATTCTGACCATAGTCAAAACGTCTTATAACCTGAAACGGAGGAAGTAGCTAACAATTGGATTGTTTGGGTAAGCTGAAGATTATGTGGGAAGCTATAGTTGATAGAAGCTCCTCCAAATGATCCCTAAGTTTTCATTCTTCGCTGAGGCAACTCGTAGCAATTAATGCTTGTGAAGACATGGATGTGCACTCGGAGAAGCAAGCTCTCGGGTTCTCTATCAAATCAAATGGTGCACTGGAAGAGACCCGTTATGGTGTTATGGTAGTAATCTACTAGCAGTAGAAACGATCCAAGCTGTTAATTTGTAAATGCATATTCGTACTTTGCTAACCATTTGATTATAATGGTAATTATGTACTGCTGGGGAACCCATCTATAGTCCCGGTTCGCAATCCCTTTGATCCCGAGAATGCAACTGGGACACCCAACCTAGAACTAAAAATGCCCATCTTTAGTCCCGATTGAAATAACCTGGATTAAAGATGGTCTGTTTTTTCATTGTTTTTTTGCTGTTTACATATTGATTTCACGCCAAACTCACCAACATTACAAATTTACAGCCAAACTCACCAACATCACAAATTCAATGATCAAATTGATATCACAAATTCACAGACCATTGACATCACAAATTCACATACTCGACAACAAAATTAGTCATCCACAAATTCACAAAAACAACTTAAAAAATCTACAACGACACCACACATTTAGAACGACATAAAAAAAAACAACACATATCTGCACATCGTTGTCTCCAGCGCCGGCCCTGGCACGGCGTCCGAAGGTTAGCCCGCTCATCAGAGCCGCCGATGAGGCGATGACCTCTCCGGGCCGTCGCCTCCCTCCCCTCCCCTCCGCCCGTGCGCCCGCCTGCCGCCGCACTCCTCTCCGCCTTCCGCTGCCCTCCCCTCCACCCTCCCATCCGCTGCCTGCCGCCACCCTCCCCTCCGCTTGCTACCGCCCTCCCCTCCGCCCGCCCGCCTACTGCCGCCTGCCACGGTGCTCATGGCGCGCAGCCACACACCACCGCGCGCCGCTGCCGCGCGGCCGCTGCCCACTACGGAGAGGGCCGGGGAGGGCAGGAGGGTATCGAGGAGAGGGGAGGGAGAGGAGGTAGAGATCGGGGTAGAGATCCCCCTTGAAGTTGCTCAGTGAAAAAAAAAATCCTAGCCTGTCACCACTTCTTAATTTCAGTACAGTACACGTTACTAGTCAATGTTGGGAAAATATATGGACGCAACTAAAGGAGTGCATGTGCACTAGTTAGTCCTAATCAACTACAAAAATATACTCTTTTTCACATATGGCATGGCTGCGGAATAGCATGTATCTTTTTCCCATGTAGGGTATCCAACAATGCAATAGTGAAAAAAAATCCTTAATAACTAAGCTTCAAATACAATTTTTTAATATTACTTATATGATCTAAAATTTGATTATACTACTATTCGTTATAATTAAAACTTTATAGCAAGTTAATACATAATTATATTCTTACTAATATATATATATATAAATTAATTTTATCATATACATGAATTACTTTTACTTTTAGATTTGATCAAATGACTTCTTAGATATTCCCAATGTTGTGAGTGTTTTTATTTTGATTGTTGTTTTTAATTAGCTCTATAATTAGATTTAATTTCTAGATAGACCCGTGTTTTTATCCCCACAACGGATACACTTTTAGTGACGTGATAGTTTACTTTTATTTTATTTTGATTACTGAATTTACTTTCTAAAATGTAATTTAATCAAATCTAAAAGTAATTTAGATATATGATAAAAGTATTTTATAACTTTTTTTAAGAACATAATCATGTGGGATCTTGATATAAAAATTTTATTACAACGAATACAACGGTGTAATCGGATTGTAAATCACTGCACTTGTAGTTACTTTCTCCGTTTCACAATGTAAGACTTTCTAGCAATACCCACATTCATATAGATGTTAATTAATCTATACGCATATATATATATATATATACATATTAACATCTATATGAATGTGGACAATGCTAGACAGTCTTACATTGTGAAACGGAGGGAGTAATAAGTTACAATTTCTCACGTATAGCTATTGATTGAATAAGTGTGCACCCGTTAAGACTAAATGGTGCATATGCACTATTTAGATTTTGCCAAAATATATATATTGCAAACTCCATGTGTAGTGTAAATATAAAAACTATACACAAATTAATGTTCGAGATTTGTCCATGTCAACCTGAATAAAATTTTTTACTCCTAATATCCTAGGTCTGCACTACATATTTGCACTGACCAAATTTCCATCACTGCATCCCCTTTTATGCAAACCGTCATGAAGAGAAGCCATTTTTGTCATTCTACTCGTAAAATCACAAATAATGGTCCTAATCTCACTCACTGGCATTCATGACACTCAGAGAATTGGCATGCAAAACAAAGCTGAGATCGCACATTTTTTTCACCCTAGCTACCATATGCAAGCATGCACACCCAGTTGTTCCAGTTGTTTGAAATTCACTGTCAACAAATGCCACCAGCTAAGAAGCAGCAGTGGCAGCACGCAGATTTAGCAACAAATAAACCATATTTGCGGTGGAATTATCTACCATAGATGTCGGTTGGACAACCATTTTAAGTATAATCGTGTGTGACCGTCCGTCTTATTTAATTTTTTTTATAATTAGTATTTTTATTGTTATTAAATGATAAAACATGAACAACACATATAAAATATGTGACTTATTTTTTAAAAAAAATTCAGATAAAACGGACATTTAATCGTTGGACAAAAAAACATACATCTGCACTTAAAATGAGACGAATAGAATATCATTTTTTTGGATGGTTTTCAAAAGGTGAAGAACAAAAGCAGATCTGACATGATTTTTTTTTTCCTTGATCACCCTTCATTCCTTCCAAACCACCCTTCTTCTCCCGGTCTCCCCCAAAGAACCTTCTCAACACAAGACAATGGCGTTGGCCGGAACCCTCAACGCCTCCACCGTCTTCTTCCTCCTCCTGCTGCTCCTCTGCGTGTCAGTGATGTCACCACCCTTCACACCTGCATCGGCGAGTCCCATGTACAAGACGGGGTGCCTCTCCTTCGACAGCCTCGTCATCTCCGACGACGCCGCGGAGGAGATGGAGAGGCGGCGGCGGGTTCACCGTGTTCTGCCCGGCCGACGACGCGGTGGCGGCGTTCATCCCGGCGTTCAGGGGCCTCACCGCCGACGCGAAGGTGGCGCTCCTGCTGTACCACGCCGTCGCGGCGCACTTCTCCGAGGAGGCGCTCAAGGCGATCAACGGGGAGGTGAACACGCTGGCCACCGACGGCGGCGGAGGAGGCAAGGTCTTGAACCTCACCATCGAGGAGGACGACGACGGCGCCGGAGCCACCGTGAAACTGTCGTCGTCGTCCGGGAACGTGGCGCGGGTGACCAAGACGATCCAGGACGCGGACCCCCACGCCGTGTACCTCATCGACGCCGTGCTAATGCCATTGGATGTGGTGGTCAACGTCTCTTCCGGCGGCGGCGCGGCTGCCCCTTCACCGGCGCCGGTCACTTCACCTGCACCCGCACCTGCTCAGGCCACAAATCCGTCCCCTTCGCCGGACAGCAAGCCCGACAATCAGCCGGCCGCGGAGCAGCCTCCGGAGAACAGCGCGAGCAGGGGCGGCATGGCAGCGTGGAGTCTGCTCTCGGTGGTCGTGCCGGCCATAGCGTCGTTGGTGCTCCGGTGAGAGCGGGCGGTACATATATCCGCGGCGCCGGCGCCGGCGGCGATGCTGTAGTTTCGTCTTGATCAGAAAAGAAATTCTCCCGCCCCCTGAACATCGCCAACCTTGAGCACACCGTCACCGTCCTCGCCGTTCAGCGCCATCGGTTGCCCAAAATAACCAAAGCCAAAACTTAAGTATGAGATATTTTTAATTTAGTGTTTCTTTTACATTGGCTTTTAAGTCACTAAGAATATATATATATGGAAATTTTATACATAAATTATTTTCTAATCACTAATAAACAGCTAAGACTTATAATCAGCTTTTGGACGACCGATGAGACCCATAAACAACACTGCAATGGCGCATGGGGCGACACATGGCTGACACCGTCCTCAGCCAGGTGCTCGTCCTTCATGTTCGGTCCTACTCGATTACCAACAATGAGGCCAGCCAGACTCGACCAGGATTGCCAATTTTGATTCTTAATAAAAATTCGTACATATAAAGTTGTCACATTATATTGTGTCATTTAAAAAAAAGACAAATGTAATAAACTTATATGTGCCTTTTTTTAAAAAAAAAAAAATCGGCACCCTAATCTGCTAAGCCGAGCCTCACCTCATTTGGTCAAACCTCCGTCCTTATCCTTTGTCTCTGTTGGTTCGTCATTATCATTTTTCCATTCCCCTCACATTCTCCTCCCCTTGCTCTCACTCCTGACTTAGCACTCACCCCTCGGAGGTGGTGCTCTCTCCTCTCTCCCTTTGCTCTCTTTCTCTCTTGGGCACCTCACTTCCCTCTCTATCTCTTCCTGTCTCTTAATGGTGACGCCCTCCCTCTTTGGTGGTGCCGCTCTTCCCATAGTGGTGGTGAGCTTTCATTGGCCCCGTGTTCCAACCACCATGAGCTCGAGGGCAGCCCGATCCGTCCGCTACGAGTTCGGGGACCACTCGATCTCGCTGCCGTGAGCTTGGGAATGGTCGGATCCACGCGATGGGTGGTGCGGGGGGAACAGTGGGGAAGGGCAGTGGATTGCATCACGGTGAGCAGAAGCGGTGGCGGTGATCTTGGATTCTCTATCCGTGTTCTTCTTTTTTCTGAGTTCTGATATCCTCTATGTGTTACGCGATTTTGTGATACTATGATTTTGTTCTTTCATGGATGTCAGGTACTCTATGTTCTTGGATATTTATTCTGTGATGATACATGAATATTGATTCCGTGATGTGACGATTTAATTCTTGGATGTTTGAATCGATCTTGGGGTGACGGTAAGCTTCAAGCCAACGCATTGATCAGCTCTTTTTTTTTTCGTAGGCCTTAAATGCGTCAGTTTTAGAACATACAGCAATAAGCCAACTCATCAGTGCTGCTATCAGGATGCCGGTTTACAGAATCGACACCATGGAGTTACAAATTATCACCAACATATTCAGTAGTAGTGTCTATACTACTTTTTAAATAATATTAATGGTGGTATCCAAGTCTGTCTCTAACGTCACAAGTTGACATGTGGGGTCATAAGGTCTTACAAGTAAATGTTTTTGCTTTGAATATGTCATTATACGCCAAATTGTTATAAATTTTTAATTGTTTTTTGCTTTTGCTTTTATATCTTATATAATATCCACTGCAACGTATGTGCCTTTAGCTAGTTAGTTATTGATGATACAACAAGCCAACGGTTGGCTCTATTATTGGCCTTGCTACACTGGTGAAGAAGTGCTTTTTAGTCCCGATTCGTAACCCTCAACCGGGACTACGAATCCAGGACTAAAGATCTATCTTTAGTCTCGGTTGGTAACATCTTTAGTCCCGGTTACCGGGTGTAAAGAGAGAATAGCGGTAGTCCCACACGGTCTCCTTTTCTTTTTTTTTATTTTCTCCCAAATTAAGTGGGATGCATATCCCCAAATCAAAGTAACATCCCAAATCCACATCACAAATAAAGTAACATCCCAAATCCACATCACAAATAAAGTAACATCCCAAATCCACATCACAAATCTTAAAGTTACATATACACACAAATCCTAAAAAATTACACACAAATCAAATACATCACAGGTTATACATCTCAGATCCATCCAATAAATCATAAATTTTTTAAAAAAGAGAGAAAACAACGCCGTTGCCGCCGCCTGTGGCCCCGCTGGCCGGCCGCCGCCGGCCCGCCGCCGGGCGTGGCCCCGCCGGCCGCCAGCTGCCGGATGGGAAGGGCAGGATGGGCAGGAAAGGGGAGAGGAGGAGGTCGAGGAGAGGGGAGGGGATGATGAAGGGGATGGAGGGGATGAGGAAGGATCGATCTGATCTGTAGGAAGGGGAGGAGGAAGGGAAAGAGAGGGGGATAGATTCGATCTGTGGAGGAGAGGATAAGGGATAGGGATTATATATTACGCTTCGAATTTTAGTTCCGGTTGGTAATACTAATCGGGACTAAAGTGGTGATCTTTAATCCCGGTTGGGATCACCAACTGCAACTAAAGTGGCTGGTGATCTTACACCAACTGGGACTAAAGATCCTCGCCCCCCTGACATTCATCTGACAGGGGATGAACAGGGATTTTTAGGAACTAAAGATCATAGAATGGCCCTGGGGTTTTCAACCGGGACTAATGATCATTTTTAGTCTCGGTTCTTCTTGGAACCGGGATTATTGTGGTTTTAGGTCGACCTAGCAAAGATCATTTCTCCACCAGTGCTATTAGCATAGAGCCCTAAATACAATCGGGAGTATCTGAAAATTGTCGTAAGTTTTTTGAGTAAAAAGCTTTAAGATATAACTATAATATAATTGAAGTGTAATTACACTGAAACTACGATATAACATATACAATACTTGTATTTAACTATGGTTTAGTTGGATAGTACCGAGATCTTACACGTGACATGTGAAAATTTCTTTTTAACAATTTTTTCCACATATATAAATCTTGAGGTAATTCGATGGCTACAAATCTGAAAATTTCGGGGGAAAAACCTTGCAGAAGTTTTCTAATAATTCCGATACAATTTATCCTTGTGTTTCTCTTCTCTGTATCTATAAGCCAATACATGAGCAATGTACCCAATGGCTGTCTAGAAGTCTTCGAGCTCAAACGAAACTCACTACACCAAGCAGCGTACGACATGAAACACTAGTGACGAAGCATACCTGTCCGCAGTCATGCGCCAGCGTCCAGCGAACCCGAACAACATGCCCAGGGGTACGGTCAACTCAACCACCACTACTAGAGAAATAATCGATGCTCGGTCAGCTGATTTCCACAATACTCACGGTTCTAGTAAAAACCAGGACTAAAAATTATTTTTAGTCTCGGTTATAAAAATTTTGATCTTTGGTGGGACTAAAGATGATCTTTAGTCTCGGTTATAAAATCTTTAGTCCCGGTTTATACCCTGTCAGAGCCATGTCAGGGCGCCGAATCACATTAGTCTCGGTTGTTAGTAACAACCGGGAGTAAAGATCATTTAGATCTTTAGTCCCGGTTGATACTACAAACCGGGACTAAAAATTTATCTTTAGTTCCGGTTGGAGTTACTAACCGGGAGTAAATATTTTTCTCCCATCTCTGATCGGCTAAGTCCCAGACTAAATATATTTAGAGATAAGATCGCGCCTCTCCAACTCCCCCTAAGATATAGCTCCTCTCCAACTCCCTCCCTCAGATCCGATCCAGCCTCTCCTCCCCTCCTCCCCTTCTCCCCTTCCTCCTCCCCTCTACTCCCATCCGGCGGCGGGCAGGCGGCCGGCGCCAAGCAGGCTGTAGGCGGGCAGCGGCCGTGCCGAGCGGCAGCGGCTGGCAGGCGGCCGGCGGCCATGGCGGACGGTGGCCTGTGGCCGGGGGTGCCGCGCACGGAGGCGGCTGGCGGAGCCGCGCCCCGCGGCGGCTGGCTGTGCCACGCCCGGCAATGGTTGGCGGAGCCGCGCGATGGCTGGCGGCGGGCGGAGGCAGCCTACTTTTTTTTTAATCTGTGATTATTGAGATGTATAATTTTGTGATTCACTGGACATTTGTATGGATCTGAGATGTATTTGATTTGTGTGTATGAGTAACTTTAAGATTTGTGATGTAGAGTTGAGATGTTACTTTGATTTGTGATGTAGAGTTGGGATGTTACTTTGATTTAGGGATTTGGGATTTAATTTGGGATGTGCATCCCACTCGATTCTGGAGAAAATAAAAAAAAAAAGAAAAGGGGACCATCTGGACTGTCCGCCACCCTCTTTTTAGTCCCGGTTGATAACAACAACCGGGATAGGATCTTTAGTCCCGGTTTTTTCAACCGGGACTAAAGACATCTTTAGTCCCGAATTGTTACTCCCGGTTGGAAACCCGGGACTAAAAGGGGTTACTAACCGGGAGTAAAAAGGTTTCTCTACTGGTGCACTCATCGACTCGCCATTGATTCTACGTAAAGAAACTGCTATTTTGGTTTGAGCCCACAATTATATATGTTAATAATGCCGATGTTCTGGGTCGGTTTTGAAACAGTATTGATTGACCATAGGAAATGGATTTCAAACTCCCGAGTTGATGCTCTCTCGGTTCTTGAATGTAGTTAAAATAGTTATGGTTCCTTTTTTTTTTCAAAAGTGGGTAGGTTGAATTTCAACTTTCATATTTATAGAGTGATATATATCACGTATTAATTTATATTCTTATTTTTTTATCTTTATACTCCCTCCGTTTCATAATGTAAGTTATTCTAGTATTTCTCATATTTATATTGATGTTAATGAATCTAGATATATATATCTATCTAGATTCATTAGTATTAATATAAATGTGAGAAATGTTAGAATGACTTACATTGTGAAACGAAGGAAGTAGCATTTTAAACAGCATGCAAGAAACGATAATACATCCCTTGAGAGTTTGATTAAAATTCACTCCCATTGATCTAGAAGGGGATGGATTTTAACTAAAATCTCTAAATTAATCATTAATAATCAACCCACATGCATGTAATGGTCCATTTAACACCACATTAATTAGATGTATTTTAGTTCTACTAGTGTTCGACTCCCTCCCATCGTAAATACTCCCTCCGTCCCAAAATATAAGAACCCAATTAAGATTTCTAATATTATGATATGTCGCATCCGGTTCTAAATTCTTATATTTTGGGATGGAAAGAGTATATGTTAAATATATGTTGTTTTAGTTTTAATTTTGAATTTTTTGTGAAGTATAAGTCATTTGAAGAAAAAACCTTTTCATCTTTTCTTACTGGTTTATTTTACCAATCAATCAATTGTTCTCAAGCTGGCAGTTTTGCCAGTTGTTGATTGGACCACGTGGCTTGACAATGTTTGCTAGGCTATGTAAAAGAAAATAAATAAAGAGAAGTATCTCGATATATGCATTGTGTGTGGGTTAGAAGAAAGATAAAAGGAAACAGATACTCTTGAAGTTCAGGATCTAGATAGATCCTGATGTCTGTGAAGTTAAAACTCGAGTTTCAACTCTTAGTATCCATAGTTTATCACAATAACTCTTTCTTTGAATCGTAACCAAAGTGACGTTTGTACACTTCTCAAATCAATCATAAATCCAATTTGCACATAAAATAACATCTATAATTAATTATTGATTTTTTTAACAATAAGTAACGGACCTGTTCAAACATATTTTCTTAATACAATCTTCGTTCATTTGACACTGATTGAAACAAATTAAATGAATTTTTAGAAATTGGATTAAGGCTGGCAAAATATCTTCAAAATTTTTTTCGAAAAGGATCTTAGCAAGGGTTATACTAGCGAGGCGTGCCAACAGGCATGCTGATTTTCTAGTTAATACGTTTCCTCTGACGAATAAATGTTCATCTTTTTTTTAACGTAGTGAAGGAAGTGCAATAAAGTTATTTGAACTACTTCCTTTCTTAGTTCTTGGTTCTTGCGCTAAATGCTAAAATGATTTATATTATATTTACGATCGAAGGAAGTAGTAGCTAGATAGCAATCAATCTTTATATAAGACCACCCGTATCTCCATCCTTATATAAGCCCTAGCCCCCAAGGTGCTCCTTGCAGCTTTTGGCAATGGAGCCCGCATTTCCCAACGGAGGTGCGGCTGCTCCACCACCGCCCATGGCGGCGGAGCAGCTGCCGCCGGCGGCGGCGGTGGTCCGGGAGCAGGACCGCCTGATGCCGATCGCGAACGTGATCCGCATCATGCGGCGCGTGCTCCCGCCGCACGCCAAGATCTCCGACGACGCCAAGGAGGTGATCCAGGAGTGCGTGTCGGAGTTCATCAGCTTCGTCACCGGCGAGGCCAACGACCGGTGCCACCGCGAGCACCGCAAGACGGTCACCGCCGAGGACCTCGTCTGGGCCATGGACCGCCTCGGCTTCGACGACTACGTCCCGCCGCTCACCGCCTACCTCCGCCGCATGCGCGAGTACGAGGGCGGCGGATCAGGTGGTGGTGGTGGTGGTGGCCGTGGCGCCGCCGCCGCCCCCGCCGTCGTGCCGCCGCCGCCGCCGCCGCCTCCCGAGGACGCGTTCCGCTACGTGCAGGTCCATCATCCCGTGTACGCGGCGCCAGGTGAGCCGGTGCAGGGGTACGGTTACCCCGTGGCCATGTCGTCTGCTCTGCCGGCGCCGCACGTGCACGTCGGCGTCCGCGGCGGCGGGCAGCACGAGGTGTTCGGTGGCGGGCCGGCGCCCCTGGCTGTCTACTACGGAGGAGCGCCGTACGGCGAGGCCAGCAGCCGCGGCGGCTGCTCTGCCGCCGACGAGGGGAGCTCGTCGTCGAGCGCCTCGCCGGCGCCGGTCGGCCCCAACTATGAGTAAAAACAAAAGAAGAAGAAAATCAAACTCTTCCCCGGCTGACAGGTGATCGAGCTCGTCGTCTACAAATTATCAATCGTCTGTCGATCGATTAGCATGTAATCTAATAAAAAAACTTAAGCTAGCTTAAGACTTAATTAGACATGTTCTGTTCATCTTTCCGCCACCGTTTCATCGAAAGAGATTAAGAATGTGGTAGTAGCTAGAAATCATTTCGAGCTCGAATTACTTAATCGTGTTGATTAATTGCAATGATGAACTAACAAGAGGAAATGATGTAGTAGTATTAACTACGAGCGTTTCATCTCGATTAATTAATTTCTGCCAAGAGTACTCCCAAGTTGACGCTCCCTTTGCAACTGGGAGAGAGATGCAAGACGTCATACTCAGTGATCTGTGCATGCATGTCGGTTAGCTATAGCTAGTTCATCACTGGCCATGAATGAGTTTGGTGCTATGCATGTAAATTAAATACATCTATACGATCGTCATCATGTTTAGTGGCAGTAGTCTTGACCGGCGATGACGTGAATATTGCTAAGCTATAGACGGTGCGTGGAAAAACCGCCGTGACGCCGTCGTATGTCGTCGATCGGTGCAGCTTGCCCAACGCGGCCAACCTGGCGACGATGTACGTACGTAGACAAGTGCCGCCACCTCCTGCTTCCATCTGGCCGGCTGACTTGGGCCTTGTTCGGTTACACAAGGATTCAATCCGGGTCGGGAACGACAAGTACAGTAAGAAATTTATGATAGATACAACGAGAGACCGGGAATCAATTCATTAGTCAAGAGGTATGGAACTAATCCGGATGTTTTGTTACCTAATATAAGTAAATTGGTTCCCGATCCAAAATAAATCCCGGTCTCTTGTTGTACGTATTATAAATTTATTGTTATACATATCATTCTTGGCCCAGAACGAATCCTTGTGTAACCGAACAAGGCCATGTGGGGCCGCGCGTCTCCAAAACTCAAGTCAACTTCCTCTCTTGTGTCTGATGGCATCGTTTCTCATGAGATAAAATAATAATATCAGCCAGCTTTGGTGGAAATTTAACAATTTGTCACTATTAGATTTGTCGGTTATCTATAAACCCCTTTTAAATTTGCTCTTGATTTTTTTCCACTCTCTAAAGAGATGCTTTCTTAACTATTTGCCAATTTTATCCACTTGGCATTAACTCGGGGTGAAATTAAAATATTGTGGGATCCACTTGTCAGCCTCTTCCCTCCCCTTCATCTCTTCCTCCAGTGTGGCGTGCTTTTGGCGGCCTTAGTCAAGCGTGGACCATAGGCGAAGGGAGGAGCGGCACCGCTGCGAGGAGTCCATCCTTCGCCAATCGCGAGGAGATCATCCGCCGCCACCGCTAGGCACCTGAGACGGCACGAGAAGCACGTCCACCCGCGCCCACAACGTCCCTTAGCAGGTCCACCTCCTCTGCCATCGTGAGGACCGTCCGTCGTAGCCAGGCATATGCCCGTCACCCGTTGTCCTGTCGTCGGAGATGTCGCTCCTCCTCCCTATCCGCTCCGTCCTGCTCCAGCGCCTCTTCCTATGCCGCTGTTGGATCGGGGTAGGTTGACACGGAAGCGGTCGAGGCGGAGGTACACAATGGTGGACGCGTTGGCGTTCGTGGCAGCAAGCCTCGGGAAGGGTGGGTAGTGCGCGACGGATGGCAGAGGTGGGTGGCGGTGCTGTTCCGGCAAGGGTCAGCGGAGTGGTCGTCGATACGTTGGGTGTTCCGGGATGCCACGCTATTGTTCATCCCGTGCAACGACCTCGCCATCGCAGCGCTGTTCCTCTTCTCCCACGCCGATTCTGTTGAGAGTGCTAGCTTCCACTTCCGCCTCCACGATTTCTGCATGGGCACATGTCTAGGCGGGGCCACCACCACCGCAGCTGTGGGCTCTGTCGACGATCGCACAACCATCGCCGCGGCCTCCGGCAGTGTGGCGGTCATGGGATACTCTATCGCTACTGCCATCATCACCCACATGCTCCACAGCAAGCAGGACCTCAGGGGCATCGGCCAGACCACGGGGCCGCGATGAACGGTCTCCTCGCAATGGCGGAGGAGGTGGAGCAGAGGTGGACTGGCTCCTTGTGGCGCACCACTCCTTCCTTTGCCATGGCCTGCACATGACTAAGGCCGCCGAAAGCACGCTACATTAGAGGGAGAGGACATATTGATCAGTGGGCCCACATTATTTTTCACCCTGGTTTGGTAAGTTGGCATGACAGCATGTCATCGTGGGCATAAGTGACAGATAGTCAAAGAGATGCATCTCTTTATATCTAGTGACAAAAAATAAGAGTAAATCTACGAGAGACTTTTGAATAATCAACAAAGCTAATAGTGCTAAGTAGTTAAATTTCCCTGCTTTGGGTGCAAGTCTCCGACCTTGTTAATTTTGATGTATGAACTTGATTAAAATTGACTGAGCATTTCTGTTGATATGGCGGAGATAGGAGTGAAAATGTGAGATCAACAATAAGTTTGTAAAATTGGTTCATATCCCTCATGTTATGTACTCTTTTTTTTTTTGAAAACACTGCAGGGGAAGCACTACAGTAAAACACAATATGTTATAAAAAAAGATATTTACAACAGGTTCGACCAATGTACAAGGACTGGTCTCTCAATTACATTTAATCTATAAACTAACAAAAGAGAAAGATCACATTTGAAAAGTACCCTCCAGGAATTAAGAGAGGGAGGGATACTGCTTCTAAATATTCCAAGCTGCATATAGAACTTACTAAAAAAAAAGAAAAGGAAGATCTGTACGAATTCTTGGCTTAATGAAGCATATCTTCAAAGTCCTACCTCGCACCCGAGTCAACTGTGCATACTTTATTGAGCTGCATGTTCTAGTAAAATTTGGTCAACTATCAGTCTGGAGCTTAATTATTGCAAATATAGTAATTCCTCATACGATGTTGTTGACTTTAACATGTACTATTTGACAAATTATTCTATTAAAACAATTACATAATATTATTTATTTTTGTTGTTACTTTTTTAATTATTGATGCCGCTTTATGGATGACTTCATATTTTTAATATTTGTATGTTCGGTTCAAGCTAGGCCAGGTGGACGATTCTATGGGATAAACTTAATTCGCATGGACAATACCTAATGAAATGGTGGAAAAAATATATCAGGCAAAAGGGTGACCATACTTTAGACAAGCCAAAAAATAAAAAAGGTTGACTGGAGCATATGGCATATGGAATGGAGCCATATGGCTGAAAGAATTAAGTGCCATGCCTCAATCGTGATAAATATACCAAATAGTTAGGACTATTAGGAGTACCAGAAACCAGTGAGAAGGCCAAGGGTTTAGCCTTAGGTCGCAACTTTAGACATGAAACACAGATACTCCCCCCGTTTCACAATATAAGTCATTCTAATATTTCCCACATTTATATTAATGTTAATGAATCTAGACATATATATATCTATCTAGATTCATTAATATCAACATGAATTTAGAAAATGCTAGAATGACTTACATTGTGAAACGGAGGAAGTAGTTGTGACTTTTCTTCACATTTCCAGCAGGCATGTTGGTGAGTTTAAGCTTGAGACCCCAAAGGTTGCTTACGGATTATAAGTCATAACGACTTATTGGTAATAAAAAACAATCTGTAAGTAAACTTCCCTTAGTGACCTTAAAGCTAATAATAAAGGAGCGTTGGAAAACCATCAGAACCTCTACTATTATAAAAATTGAAGATGTTTTTACCGGTATTTTGGTACGTCATCCGTGTATGAGTTGGTTTTTAAGTTCGTTTGGTTTTGGAAATACATATCCGTATTTAAATCGGTTTTTAAGATCGTTCACTTTTGGTAATACATAAGGAATCATATAAGAAATCTGTTTAAAAAAAACTTACATGCTAACTTATTGAGACGATCGGACTTCTAACTGTAGCTCATGATTTCCTAAAAATATGTGTCCAAGCGAACTCCCATAGCGAATTTTATCTTAACTAAAGCATATAACAATAATAAAATTAAAATAGACTTCACCCGTTGCAACGCACGGGTATTTTTTCTAGTTAATTTTAAAATTTAAAGTTTAACATTGATTTATAAGTTACAAGGCAAACGATGTGATCCTTAATTAGGCTATTCCTTCGATTTTCGTTATCACATTTTTCAAGCGATTAAACGGTGAAAACTTTATATATAAAATTTATTTAAAATAAATAAATAAACATATTTTTCAATTTTTTAATAAATAATAACTATTAATTATATGCTAATTAATCACGTTTTACATGTGGCTAATGATCAAAGCCGACCCAATTACTACAAGCTCCTACATGTTACCCTTAAAATTATCATATAAGATTAGGTGATGAGATAGAGAAGAGAAATTAGGAGAGAGAATGAACCACCCCCTCATTCATGGGGCAACCTCAACACAATCTCCAAGAAAAATATAAAATGATATGAGAGCAAACTCATATTGAAGTTTGTAGATTGGTTATGATATTTGTGTCTGTTACTTCTTAATTAATGAGAAGATAAAATGGTTTAAATGAAATGTGGCATACACCTCCCCCATAAAACTTGCCCTAAGATATGAATGTTACGATATTTCCAATAAAATCTCCCAATCAGCTTATGAGACCATTGCCTCATTCCACGTGGAAAGCGAGAAACTTTCAGCTTAGAGCAAGTGCCTACTTATATGGAGGAGAGAGGTAACAAAAAAAAATTAAAGGTGTTGGCTCTAATGCAAGAGCTAGCTTAACACAACCTTCAAGACAAATACATTAAATGTATATTAGTAAGAGATAGAGAGAGGAGAAGAAAATTGTAGCCAACCTTATAAATAATCTAGGTTTTAAGATGTTTTGACTTTGGTGAAAGTCAAACTGCTTCAAATTTGACTAAGTTTATAGACAAACATAGTAATATTTACATTACTAAATTAGTTTTATTAAATTAATAATTAAATATATTTTTATAATAAATTTATCTTGGGTCATAAATATTACCTGAAAAAGTTTGACTTTTACCAAAGTCAAAACATCTTATAACCTAAAATAGAGGGATAATTATATATGTTAGCTTTAATATGGATTAATAGTAGGAAGTGAGCTCTACTATTACCCTTAGGGCACCCGCAATGGTTATCTATAGGCTCTCTACAAGAGATCCATGTCAACATATTTTCCTACTTGGAACAGATTAAATGAAGAAAGAGAGTAAAGCTATCTACTAATCTGGAGATAGTCTATAGAGAAAAACGAGGCAATGGATGAGAGAGCTATAGATACCTATGTAGACATACTATTGAGGTGGTTTACTATTAATCTAGTCTATTGCTGAGATGTATATGTTTTATAGAGAGCAACTTACTTTACCATTGTGAGTGATCTTATCGAGATATGCTTCTGTACTTCTCAAGAGAAAATTGCACGGCTTTTAAGGAAAAATGAGAGGCTTAATAGATTAGAAGGTAGTTAACAGCCTAAATTTCCTTAGAAAGGGCAATTTCGTCCTTGAGGGTGCTAATCGTATCTCTGATCGCCATTGCAGTGCACCAAGGCATCGAGCAAGCAAGCATCGATGATTTCATTTACTTTTCATTTTAATTTTCGTTTTCTGTCCTATCCACCTAAATCTGCTATCCAGCTTAGCTAGCGATGTTGCCCAGAATCGATAAAAAGAGAGAGAGAGAGCATTAAAAAAACTAATTTGTAACCGAGTTACTCTACTGTGGTTCTATTAACGCAAACAAATCAAGGAATTCCAAAGCAAATAAGATTAGAAAGAAGGAAGGAAAAGTACAAGGGATTTGGGGGCAATGGAGCAATTGGGCACGAACTCCCGCTCCAAATCGATCTGGATCTGGTACTAGCCAAAGGACATATCTATTGGGACTGCCATGGAGATCCTGCTATAATTCTGATAGTGACGACGAGATCCGGGCGTCGGAGACGGAGAGGAGAGAAGAAGAGGAACGGGGCAGCGAGAACCGAGAATCAGGATCGAAGAGAATTATGTCATTGATACAAGCATCATACAGCCTAACTTTTTTCAAGGACAAAACTACCCTTGATAAATGATGCTTAGGCTTCTAATCTGATCCTCTTGTTTTTCTTTAATAGCCGTGCAGTTTTCTCTCGAGGAGCATAGAAGCTTATCCTTATCCTTGCTCTTATGAGTACTAATCCCTCAGTTTCAAAATAAGTGTAACCATGAGTTTCCGTATCTAACTTTAATCATCTGTCTTATTTGATTTTTTTTAAAAAAAATAAAAAACATAAGTCATGTATAAAGTAATATTCATGTTTTATAATGTAATAAAAATAAAAAAACAAATAATTTTTTTTAAATAAGATGGACGATCAAAGTTGGACACCAAAACTTATGACTACGGTTATTTTGGGATGGAGGTAGCTGCGTTTGTTTGGAGATGAATGTAAGCTTGTTTATTTCGTTTTCCGCGCGCACGCTTTCCGAACTACTCCCTCCATCCCAAAATATAAGCATTTTTAGCTATGAATCTGGACAACCGTGTGTCCAGATTTATAGCCAAAAGTTGTTATATTTTGGGGCGGAGGTAGTATTAAACGGTGTGTTTTTTTTGCAGAAATTTCCTATATAAAATTTACTTTTAAAAAATCATATTAATCTATTTTTATAGTTTCAAATATTTAATACTCAATTAGTCATACGCTAATAACTCACCTCGTCCTACGTATTTTCTCAATCTTATCTTCTCTTCTCCTCTCTCACTCAAACTCAGCCAAAAGTGTTCAGTATCAAAGCACGTGCCGCACAACACTTTACTGTATTACACTGGCGTTCGTGGTGAAACAGTGAAGGCAGGAATCACTTCAGCAACCACTGACGTGTATGCTCCGATCGATGTCCGGACATCACTACATCGGGTTCGCATCCTCTGACTTTGAAGCTGACGGCACAGTTTGCTGTTGCTTCTATCCTGCCCATCCATCTTTTAATCAATGGATGTATGTCTTTGTCCCCACTTCATGGACAATTAACATTCAATTAATTGATCTGATTTAAAAGACAAATAATTCTTAGCATTGCTAAACATATTTATAAAAAAAATCTTTACAATACTTATACGAACAAAGTTCTCAACCATTTGACTTGACTATAAGAATTATAGAAAAAATATACTCTTATATTCTCATACGCCGTTGATTTTTTTAAACATGTTTGACCGTTTGTCTTATTCAAAAACTTTTATGAAATGTGTAAAACTATATGTATACATAAAAAAAATCAAATGATAGGAAAAGAATTAATAATTACTTAATTTTTTTAATAATACGAACGGTTAAACATTTTTTAAAAAGTCAACGGCGTCAAACATTTTCGGATGAAGGGAGTATAACTTAAACAATTTTTTCTAAATACCCCCGTCCCAAAAAAAAACACAATCCTAGCAACAGACCTGAACACGTATGTGTCTAGATTCGTTGATAGGATTGGATTCTTTTTGAGACGGAGTAGTAAACATTAGCGAGACAGTTGTGAGTTGTTTAGTATGGAGGTGGGATAATTATTTTCTTTATGTTTCTGAATGAATAGATATCAAATACTCCCTCCGTATTTTAATGTATGACGCCGTTGACTTTTTAATAAACGTTTGACCTTTCGTCTTATTCAAAAAAATTTATGTAATTATCATTTATTTTATTGTAAATTTATTTATCATCAAATATTCTTTAAGCATGACATAAGTATTTTTATACTTACATAAAAAATTGAATAAAACAAATGGTCAAACGTCGTTTAAAAGTCAACGGCGTCAGAGGGAGTATATATTTTAGCTGCTCATTCAAATAGCGAAGGATGTGTTGGCTGTCTTTGTTTTTTTTTTCCTGGTTTACCGCTTGAGATTGTTTTCTTCAATTTCTCTAATTAAATGGCTACTAGTTAATCACGATTGATGGAAGCGGTTGATTGAATGAGGGATGGCGTGGATGAAAGCAACGGCAAACTTTGCCTTTTGCCACAAAGGCAGAGGATGCAAACCCGTGTCGGTGTCCGATCTGATCGGACACGGACACACGGCTGTGGACCCCACCAGCCAACCGTGCGAACCGCCCACGAGCCACCCTCCCATCCCCACCTGTCAGCCTCATCCGCCGACTCGATGCGGCCCCACCTGCCGGCCACACTCACCTGCTCCCCCTCCCCGACCGTTACATTCAAACGCGCCAATCCGACCGTTACCCACATTAAAAAAAATGGACACGCTTCGACACCAACAAGCACATCCGATTCCCCTCCAGCCTCCACTGTGCTCCTCGTGTCCGCCGTTCTGATCTCCATTATACCACCTCGGAATCCCACGGACACCGCGCGCCCCACATAACCCCATGACCCGGATCCCTCCCCGCCACCCATGGACGCTCCTCCCCTCCGCCTCCGCCTCGCCGTCGCCTTCTTGTCGCTCCTTCTAACGGTTTCTGCGTCGGCGGCGGCGGCGAGCGGTGGTGGTGGTGGTTTCAATGTTAGCTTTGATTCGGCGGCGCTGGCCTTCTCCGACCTGACGCTGCTGGGGGACTCGTTCCTGCGGAATGGCTCCGTCGGCCTGACGCGCGACACCGCCGTGCCGTCGTCCTCCGCCGGCAGCGTGCTCTGCAGCCGCGCCGTCGCGTTCGGCGGTGGCGGAGGATCGGCGGCGTCGTTCGCGGCGAGGTTCTCCTTCGTCATCGCCGAGCAGAACGCCGGATCCACCGGCGGCGACGGCATCGCCTTCTTCATCTCCCCCGACCACGCCACGCTCGGCGCCACCGGCGGCTACCTCGGCCTCTTCAACTCCTCCTCCTCGGCCGCCAAGACCAACGCCTCTATTGTCGCCGTTGAGTTTGATACGATGTTGAACGACGAGTTCGGCGACCCGAGCGACAACCACGTCGGGCTTGACCTCGGCTTGCCGGTGTCGGTCAACGCCGTCGACCTCGCCGCGTTCGGCGTCGTCCTCAACAGCGGCAACCTCACCACGGCGTGGATCGACTACCACGGCGCCGACCACCTCCTCCAGGTGTCCCTCAGCTACTCCGCCGCCAAGCCGGCGAAGCCCGTCCTCTCCGTGGCCGTCGACCTCTCGCCGTATCTCAGGGACGCCATGTACGTCGGCTTCTCGGCCTCCACGGAGGGGAGCACGCAGCAGCACACCATCAAGGAATGGACCTTCCAGACGTTCGGCTTCCCGTCGGCGACCAACTCCTCTTCCTTTTCGAACACCACCGGCAACGCGTCGGCGCAGACTGTCCCCGGCGAGGCGGCCGCGGGCGGCGCCGCCTCTCGCAAGAAGAGGTTCGGGCTCGCCCTCGGCATCCTCGGCCCCGTCGCGCTTGCCGTCTCCTTCGTCTTCTTCGCCTGGGTGTCCATCAGGAAGCTGATAGAGCTCACCTCCCGGAAGAACGCCGGCTTCTTGCCCGAGCTGGTGAAGGGGCCGAGGAAGTTCAGCTACAAGGAGCTCAGCGCCGCCACCAGGGGATTCCACGCGAGCAGGGTCATCGGCAAAGGCGCGTTCGGGACGGTGTACAAGGCGGCTATGCCGGGGACGGCCACCGCATCCGCCGTCTCCTACGCCGTCAAGCGATCCACGCAGGCGCACCAGAGCCGGAACGAGTTCGTCGCCGAGCTCTCCGTTATCGCCTGCCTCCGCCACAAGAACCTGGTCCAGCTCGAGGGATGGTGCGACGACAAGGGCGAGCTGCTGCTGGTGTACGAGTACATGCCCAACGGCAGCCTGGACAAGGCGCTCTACGGCGAGCCCTGCACGCTGTCGTGGCCGGAGCGGTACACGGTGGCGTCCGGCATCGCGTCGGTGCTGTCCTACCTCCACCAGGAGTGCGAGCAGCGGGTGATCCACCGGGACATCAAGACCAGCAACATCCTGCTCGACGGCAACCTCAGCCCGCGCCTCGGCGACTTCGGCCTCGCCCGCCTCATGGACCACAACAAGAGCCCCGTCTCCACCCTCACCGCCGGCACCATGGGCTACCTCGCGCCGGAGTACCTCCAGTCGGGCAAGGCCACCGAGCAGACCGACGTGTTCAGCTACGGCGTCGTGGTGCTCGAGGTGTGCTGCGGCCGCCGCCCCATCGACAAGGACGACGGCGGGGGAAAGAACGTCAACCTCGTCGACTGGGTGTGGCGCCTGCACGGCGAAGACCGCCTCATCGACGCCGCCGACCCGCGCCTCGCCGGCGGGTTCTACCGCGACGAGATGCTCCGGCTGCTGCTCGTCGGGCTGAGCTGCGCGAACCCCAACTGCGACGAGCGCCCGGCGATGCGTCGCGTGGTGCAGATCCTGAACCGCGAGGCAGAGCCGGTGCCCGTGCCGCGGAAGAAGCCGCTGCTCGTGTTCAGCTCCAGCGCGTCGATCAAGCTGCAGGAGATCGCCTTTGCCTGCGGCGACGACGTCCGCGGCGGCCTTCCGGCGGCGGCCACGTCGCCGAGGTCTGAGGGCGGCGACATTGAACGCTAGCTGCTGACACTGATCACTGAAGCAGAGTAAAGGATAATACTGAGTATGAATTACTAATACTAGTGTGATTCTTATACACGATTGATGGATTGTATTTGTGATGTGCTCCTAAGGGGAATATAAGTAATAATCCCCGCTGTTGTACGAGTTTTGAAATACTTATACATCTACCACTACCAAGGTGTGTTTCAGCACGTTGTTCAGACATCTTGTGTGAAATATATTGTTAGAGACCCACTTCACTTACTTGAAACAATAGCAGTTTCAAAAGTAATACCAATCCAGTACAAGGAGCAATTGATTCTATTGCAATATTGGAGGCTTTTGAGGTGGAAGATGGAAGGATACAAAGGCTAAAAGATTCTAGAAGCTTCTAGATTAGTAGATGAGAAGGGAGGTAGAGAAAAGATCGCCAAGGAGCCAACCGGCCTCCAGGCCGCCGCCGCCGCCGTTCGCCGTCTTGGCCAATGATCTGTTCGCCCCCTCCTAGAAGTGCTGCTGCTATTTATATATGGTTGTCTCTTGGGCTTGCTTGGACTTCTTGGAAAGTAGTTCATCCAGCCCATATTGCAGCCCATATGGCTCCTAACATCCTCCTTCGCTTGAAATTCGGTTTGTCCCCAAGCCGATGACTCGAAGCTGTGCAAGCTTCACCCACTTGATCTCCCCTGTTACTATTTCTCTTGTAATGTAGCCAATATGATCATAGGAAACACAACCAGCCAATGCTTGTAATAGCCCACAGTGAAAGCCTAGTTCCTTGTTTAATAGCTAATGCCAAATGAGAGCCGCCTGGATCCCATGGAACACTCAATAAATTGACAATTACTAAGTTTGCAGAACCATATTGCTGCAGCAACATAACAACCTTCATGTCCTTGTTAACAGCAAATGCACACGACCAAAGATCACGTTTCAATCGCTTCTTCTGTACCACTCCACTGACTGAAAATTCTGAAGTCCAAACTGTATTGCCTTCATCCTCCATTACATCAATAGGCAGTGATGATCTCATAATCACTTGGCTTAATGCAATGTGCTCTCATGCAGGTAGTTAATTGACAATTTTCTGGTTGTAAAGCATAGCTGCCAATCTGACCCATTTCAACGCATCTGGATCCCACACTAATGGCACTAACATAACTTGCATGAGTTCCAATGGGTTCACAGTTAGCATACTGTTCCTGTATTGTTTAGAGTTCCAATCAAGCAATCCACCAAAACACCAACCATTGTGCATGAATAGAATAGACTGAGGATAGCACTTCTGAACACTACAACCATAAGAAACCCTGTCACAGATCAATTAAATGTAATTGACCTCTTGAACCAATGTACCCAGTGTATTCCAATCAAACTTGGCATCTTCCAACTTGGTTTGGCCTTTCAAGTCTGTAGCCCATTTCTTTGCTACATGGGAAGTGGTCTCACAATATGCAGCATGGCTATTAGTAAATGGAATGTGCTAATTGCATTTGGGCCATACAACCAACAGCAGCCAATACAGCTTTGTCCAAGGTGAGTCTCAGGTACAGCAATTGATTGAGCCAAAAAGTGTACCTTATTTTCACCAAAGTTTTCCAAGAATTTTTAACAACTTGAGCTTCTACATAAGCTTGATGATGGCTCTTTGGAGATATATCTTGGATAAGTTTAACAAACAATCCTGGAATAGGCCGCATAATGCTCAGGTACTGTTTAGAATCCCAACCATTCAACATCTTCATTTTAGCCTTAGTGGACCATATTCTCCTTGACATAAGCTGTTGTCATATCATGCTTACTGAATGCTGAAGGAGACCACTCAAGTGCAGCTCATATAGCTTAGGAACAAACAATGATCCTTCTTCACCTGACTCACTCCAAATCGCTTTCCAGAATTTTGAAATTGCTTTTCGATCCACCAGGATATGGGTGAAGCCATTGATCAATAAGGGCAGGATGTCATTCTCATGTGGTGGGGGCCACGGTTTCAACTTAGCCCATTCAGTTGATGGTGGCCAAGGATCAAGTAGATGTTCTTCAAGCCAACAATAGATGAATGCTGGCCAAGGCGTTGGCCGGAACTCAGTCCACTAATCACTCCACTGTAGGTTGGAGGTGGCCATGGCTTCAATTCAATCCCCTCCAGCCTTAGCTTTTTACTGAACTGTGTCTTGCTGTCATATCGAGGGATTCTCAACAAACACCCGGTGGGCATTGGTATGTCCTACTTGAGGTCGCTGACTAACCTTGCCGAGAAGATGTCAATTGACTCGATAGATATTGGAACAGCCTTGGCCACACCCGTCATTGTCAGGAACACGTCCCCGACGTGGTCTGCGCCACCCTTGACATCAAGGCCTAACATCGAACATTTGGTGTGCGTCTCCTTGTGACAGTCAGGGCCATCAATTTCAGTGGTGCAGGCGACGTCCTCACCAACTTCTAGGTCCATGGAGGCCAGAGAAGTGGAGGTGCACGTAACCACTGCTACCACGATGAGGTCTGGGATGTCATTGGGGTTGGAGCAATTTGTCAAACACTTGGCGGGCGTTACCATGGGCTGTATAGGATTGTAGATGTAGGTTGCACCGATTGCGTCCTCAGCAGCTACCAGATCAACAAAGGTCATAGCAGTGGTGGCACATGTAACAACCACATCAACAGTGAGATTGGGCTCGACATCGGGGCTGAAGCATTTTGTCGAACACATGGTGGGCGTCATCTTGTACTGCTTGTTCCCAACTAAAAAATGTGAGTCTTCAGTGCTATTCTAAATGGGGAATCCATGATGCTAACGCTACCTTGAGAGATTGGAAATCAGCTCTCCTTGTCTGCTCTGCCTCCACCCGCCTCCGTTCGAACTCCTCCATTCGCCTCAAAATCATATCCAACTTATGTTCACTTGCCATGGCAACTTGCTTGGTGAACTCAGTAGGGATTGGTGGCTCTGATACCAGATTGTTAGAGACCCACTTCACTCACTTGAAACAATAGCAGTTTCAAAAATAATAGTACCAATCCAGTACAAGGAGCAATTGATTCTATTGCAATATTGGAGGCTTTTGAGGTGGAAGATGGAAGGATACAAAGGCTAAAAGATTCTAGAAGTTTCTAGACTAGTAGAGAAGGGAGGTAGAGAAAAGATCAACAAGGAGCTAACAGGCCTCCAGGTCGCTGCCGCCGCCGTTCGCCGTCTTGGCCAATGATCTGTTCGCCCCTTCCTCGAAGTGCTGCTGCTACTTATATATGGGAATAAGTTTACTTTGGGTCCCTCTATTTGTCGCCCAGTCCGATTTTCGTCCCTTGACCGCAAAACCGGGTATGACCCGTCCCCCAACTTACGAAAAACGGGTAAACGTGGTCCCCCGGCGGTTGAAGGCGGTTTTGGCTGATGTGGCGCCTACGTGGCTTGTTTGACTTGGTCTTCGTCCCACGTGGCATTGACGTGGCGCTTACGTGGCAATTATATCTCGGAAAAATAATAAAAAGCGTGGCCCCACATGTCAGCTACACAAAGAAAAATAGTTTTAAAATGGTGGGGCCCACGTGGGCCCCACAAGTCAGCCTCACTTATCTCTTCTTCCCTCTTCTTTCTCTCTCTTCTTTGCTTTCCCCTCTCTCTCTCTCCTTCCCAGGCAGGGGACGGCGCGGGTGGGCGGCGGAGCAGGCGAGATCCGGCGGCAGTGGCGGGCGTGGTCGTCCCCCGACCGAAGCGCCGCCGGTCCGCGTGAAGGCAGGTCCGGCCGTCCGGGGAGGTCCGGCAGCCGGCGCTATGGCGGCGGCGGTCGGCGGCGGGAGCGCTGGGCTGGCAAATGAACGGGGCGGCGGCGGGCAGAGCGGCGGCATGAAGTCGAAGGGGTGCCAGCCTCGTCGTCGTCTTCTTCTGGCGCACAGTTGTGGAGCGGCGAGTGAAGCGATGGCGACGGGCGACGGGCGGAGGGCGGAGCAGAGGGGTGGTTAGCGGAGCGGCAGCGGGCGGCGGGCGGCGTGGCGAGAGTGCTGCGAGGGAGGAGGCGAGCTCGTCGGGGCGGCCGGCGGGAGAAGAGGCAGCGTGCGCCGGCCGATGGGAGGGAGGGAGAGGAGCGGGGGTCGGCAGCCGGCCGGAGTCGGCGGTGCGCGGGGGTCAACGGCTGGCGGAGGTGGCCAGAGGAGGAAGAGGCAGAGGAGGTCGCCGGCGAGCGCGGACTCCACGCCGTTGGCCGCTCCGCCCGAGATGCCCAGCGGAACGGCGCCGCCCCTCCTCGCTCGGTCGCCGAGCGCCGCCTCCCTCCTCGCCCGGCCACCGCACGTCGCCTTCCTCCTCGCCTGGCACCGTACGCCGCCTCCCTCCTCGCCCGGGTGCTGCCTGCCGTCTCTCCTCGCTCGGCCGCCGCCGTCGACGTCCTCGATGGTCACATCCAGGCCGGGTCGCCGAGCGCCGCCTTCCTCCTTGCCCGGCCGCCGTGCGCCGCCTCCCTGCTCTCCAGGCTGCCGCAAGTGACCCCTCCTCTCGCCCGGCCGCCGCGCGCCGCCTCCTTCCTCGCCCGGCCGTCGCGCGCCGCTCCGCCCACCGCCCCCCGCTGCGTCGCCTCTCACCATTCTGTAAGGGAGAGAGAGGGGGGATAGAGAGTAGAGGGGGCTGACATGTGGGACCACAGGGGCCCCACCTTTTCTTATTATTTTTGTGTAGCTGACATGTAGGTCCCACATTTTTTATTATTTTCCTGAGATCCTATTGCCACATAAGCGCCACGCCAATGCCACGTGGGACGAGGACCAAGTCAAAGGGAGCCATGTAGGCGCCACGTCATCCAAAACTGGACACAATACTGCCGAGGGACCTCTTTTGCACGGTTTTGTAAGTTGAGGGACCCGTCATACCCGGTTTTGCGACCGAGGGACGAAAATCGGACTGGGCAACAAATAGAGGGACCTAATGTGAACTACTTCTTATATATGGTTGTCTCTTGGGCTTTCTTGGACTTCTTGGAAAGTAGCTGATCCAACCCATATTGCAGCCCACATGGCTCCTGACATATATTGGCCTTTGAAGCTTGAAATTTCGTAGGAGAACATAACGAGCACAAGGATACACGACCAGAATTCAGTTTTACAACATGGTATCTCCCTAACTTGAACCTTCCGAGATTATTTTTCAGCTGGTTAAAAAATTTCTGATCCACCCCAATATTTTAATTTTTGGTTGAAGTTTTCTTCAAATATCTTCAAATTGAATGACAATCTATTTAAAACTTTATTTTCTCTAGTGAGATGTTCCCAAGAAAGTGAGATCTCGCGTCGTCCAAGACTTTCCACGCGAGCTGGCTAAAGGCCCATGCGTTGCAATTGATGTTTTAAGAGATAAAAGCAAAAACTACAAGTTTGTAGCACAGCCAATCCACTAAGGCATATAATGCCATCTCTAATGTTTTAAGTGTTAGAATTAACTAGAAAGATACCTGCGCATTCTTGTGGGTATGTATAGTAGACTATGTTTGAGACACATACAAGAGTACAATATTAACCGGAGAATATCTGCCACATACAATTTCTCCGTAAATTGTTTTTGTCAGCATTGCTTTTATAATTTTCTAACCTATTAGTTAGCTTTATACTACATCATATTTAATTAATCCTTACAAACAATTATTTATAATCTTCTTCATCATCTTAAAAAAAGATGGTAGACTTATTTTAAAGATGGTAGACTTATTTTGTTTAGAGAACATGTCTATCAAATTAAGTTTAAAATAAAAGTAAGGTGTTTTACTTTTTTTTTTGATATAGGTTGCCATTGTATATTAACGGATAAATTGGGTGGGACATGAGGCTCCACTAAATGCATGGGTTTATGTAGTCTAAAATTTGAGGGATAATCCATCAGCAAATGTTTCATGTCGAGTGGCGGGAGGCTCCATGCAGCCTAGCATGAATACGATTGGACGATGAAATATAATTGCATGATAATATTTTTTAGAATGCGATGTATCATGAATACACACTTGTTTTTTATAATATATAAGATAGATCTAACGATTGGAAATAATGGGTCCGTCCGAGTATATGTGCGGTTAGCCTTCCACCAACAACCTTGGAACATATCCTTCCGAGTGTTGAGTTTGTGCCAACGCTCCTTGGCTTGCGTTGGGCTTCTCCATCTCATGTTGTGTGGTTTTATACGTGTGGTTAGCCTTCCACCAACAGCCTTGGAATACATCCTTCCGAGTGTTGAGTTTGTGCCAACGCTCCTTGGCTTGCTTTGGGCTTCTCCATCTCTTCTCCATCTCCCCAATATTTTTCAGCCTTCTTATCATTCCCATTAATTGGGTCCATTGAATTGTTCAACCAAACACTCATCTACAAACATAACAAAAGAAAGCGTTATTGTGCACACACATTCACAAAGCAAATATAGGCAAATTGCATCAAAATCTCACCAGTCTAACATCCTCCTCTTGGATCCAATTTAGCTTCAATCTGGTCCGAACGGCACCATTGTCATCATCACTATCAACAGTGACATGGTCATTGTTCCCAGTAAGTGCGGATGAAGTGGGTTTCGCAAGCGGCACAGAAGAACCATCATGAGCAAGCAGTGTTGAATAACCATTAGCATGCAATGGTGTGTAGTGCGAAGATGCGCCGACAAAATTATAATGTTGGGTGTGGATATTATGGGTACCATATACTCGCAGGGCTTGATTATCCAAATGGTTACAGGAGATAGTTTATGTAACTAGAATAAGTATAGGATATGTAACGTCCCGATTTTCGTTCGGGAATAAAAATCAATTAATAATACATTTTCTAGAAATTAAATAAAAGTTAAATCAACTTAATCAAGTGAATTATTGAGGGAATTAAAAATTTCCTTTAAAAATTATTGGCCGGGAATATTTTGTAATATTCTTTGTGCCCTAATGTACTCTCCGAAATTTTCCGTGAATTTTCGGAGCTCGAGAAATAATTTTAATAGCACAAAGATCATTGCATCAATTAAAATAAAAAGAAAACAAATAAAATCCTCCTTCCTCTCTTTGGGCCCCTTTCGGCCCAATCCCTCCTTTCTCTCCCGCGGCCCGCGCGCCCCCTTTCTCTCCCTCTCGGGCCGGCCTCCTCCCTCGGCCCGCTCGGCTCTCTCTCTCCCTCAAGTCCGTTCTGCCTCCCCAGTCGGCCTCTCCCTCCCTCTCTCTCCGACAGGTAGGATGTCACACCCTAAAAATTCAAATTATATAAATTGTTGTTTAAATGGAATTTCTAGAATTTATTTTAAAAAGGTTTGAAAAGAAAATCTAAGTTTAATTAATAAATTCCAATCTAAAAAGTGGCCAGATAAAATTTCATTAAATACTTTGCTTAATTCTATAATTCCTAGATTTTTCTGGGATTTATTTGAGCTAAGGAAGTATTTTTAATAAATGGAATTGCATTTAAGAAATAATTTAAATTGAAAAAGTTTTAAAAAAAGTCTTCTTTTGGCTTTGGGCCGAAAGTCGGCCCAAAACCGCCTTCTCTCTCTTCTCGGCCCAGCCGGCCCAGTCCGCTGCCGCGCGCGCGCGCCCGCTGCCGCTGACAGGTGGGTCCCGCCTGTCAGGACCTTCGTCCTCCTCGCGCCATCGCCGCCGAAACCCTAGCTCGCGCCGCCGCCGCTGTTTCCTTCCAATCCGGCCGCCTCTTTCCTTCTCCGGCCGAATTGATTGAGGGGAAACCATCTCCGGGATCTCCTCTATCTTTTTCCCTTTGGAATCATCGGCTAAATCGCTTTGGAAAGCGTTGGAATCGAGTTCGATTCGGATCGGGTTCCCTCTCTCCAAGCCGAGGTTTCCTTCGCCGTTGCCGTCGCCGTGGGCCTCCGCCGTCGTCTCCGAGCCCCTTTAAAAGCTTCCCCGTGCTCTCCGCTACCCGCCGCCACCCTCGCCTTTGCCTCTCGTCGCCGGAATCGTCCTAGCGCCGTGCGCCCTAGCTCCGCTGTCGCCGCCGCCGCTCCAGCCGTGCTTCGCCGCCGCTCCAGCCGTCGCCGTCGCTCGGGAAGACCGTCGTCGTGATCGCCGTCGCGTCGCCGTCCTCGTCCGCCCCTTCGCCGCCGCCGAAGACCGCCGGAGTGTCATCGCCGTCGTCGACCCGAAGGTCTCCGCCGTTTCCTCCTCGTCGCCGGCGCCGTCCGTTGCTTCTCCGCCGTCGCTTTGGTCGCCGGTGAGTTCGCCGTGCCGTCCGCTTCGTCCCGGTGC